CAACTCTTAATATTGATTTAACTAACAATTGGCATAGTTATAATCTTTCATAATACAAATTAAGATGATGATGGAATAGTTATCTTTTGTTGCATAACGAATTACCCCTAAATTTAGTTGCTTGAAACAAAATTATCTCACAGTTTCTGTGGGTCAGCAGTATAGCTGGGTAGATTTCACCCTGGTGTCTCATGAGTTTGGAGTCCAGATGTCTGTCTGGGCTTCTGTCATTTGAAGGCTTGTCTGGAGCTGAATAATTTGCTTCCAGGGTCAGGAAGAAGGAGACTTCAGTTCCAGATCACATGAGCCTCTTTTCAGAATATATTTGCCTTCCCTCCAGAGCAAGTAGTCCATGGGAGTGAATAAGAGGATTTTGCATTGTCTTCTAGGGCCTAGCCTTGGACATGACATATCATCACTTTTGCTGTATTCTCTTGGTCAACAGTCCAGCCCTGACACATGGTGAGAGAGGGCTCTGCCCATTGCCGACCAGGAGGGACCTTATAGGACAGGGTAAAGCTACCCCTTAGGATTTCCAAGGCTGTGTCATATTTACAGTCACAGACTGTGCCATCTTTTTCTCCAAAAAAGTGCCTGGTATTTCCAAATTACCTGTCTTTTCTTTAGCAGCCAGATGTTTAAGCACTGTGCCAGCAGGGTTCCTTTGGAGGGGACAGTTGTTGTTAGTCCGTCAAGTTGGTTCCAACTCATAGCAACCTTGTATAGGGTTTCCGAGGAGCAGCTGGTGAATTTGAACTGCTGACCTTGCAGTTCAAACCGACATTACGGTCCAGTGCATTAATTCACACGCCACTCCAGGACTCCTGAAGGGGACAATACAAGTGTGTAAATACCAATAGACAGAGATCATTGGAGGCAGTCTTGGAGGTCGGCTATCACAGGTAGTGAACATTTAAGAAACTTTTAAAAATATATAATTTAGAAATGTGGAGATAATACCAAACGAAATGACTAAAAGCTGAAAGAAATTGCTCCTGACAGTAGAATTAGGGATTGGAATCAGGAAGCCAGAGATTGCTGGTTTTCATCATAAGCTTTATTAGAACAACTTTTAGAAATATATAAATGTTTTGCTATGATTTAAAAAATTTATTTAAACTTTTTTTTTGTGAATTCAGTGATGATTTACAGGACAGATCATCAGTTGTACATTTAACAGATCATATACTTTGCTTCATTACATAGTTGCAATCCCCTCTATGTACCAACAGTTAATAGCATTTACCTCTACTCACTAACTGCTGCATTCCTCGCTGGGTCTCCCATCACCCCCATCTTTCCTCTGCCAACCTCCCACCAGTTGCATATTGCCTGCCCTTTCACCCATTTCAACATGGTCTACCCTCTAGCACATGCATCATTTCCTCCTCCCCTCAAAACCTTTATATATTGTTTCTTTTATATGATTTTTTTTTCAATATTATGAAAAACCCCAAAGTACACAGCCATTTAATGTCCCCAACATCTATAGTGGAGTCATGGTGTGGCACTGCAGGATAATGCTCTGGATTACAAGTTCCGTTTGAACCACAAGGTCGGCAGTTCAAACCCACCAGATGCTTCTTAGAAATCCTATACATGGTCGTTATGGGTCGGACCCAACTAGACAGCACCTAACAAGAACATGTATCATAGAGTAGAGTAATACCTGGGTTAGATAAGGAACTACAAGATTCGGAATCATCTGAATCTGATACGGATCTGTTGGCATTTGGAAGATAGTGTGTATTTATATGTGTGTGCTCTTGAAGAACATTTTACACATAATAAACCTGATGTTTAATTAATAAAAGGAAATAGTGACAGAACCTGAACTAGAATCCTTGAATAAATGTGACACAAAGAAACAAACATTGAGTAGTAAGAATCGCTGGCATTTCACTAATACAGACCTAGAAGAAGGAGAGAAAAATAATCATTTAGCTCTTCTCCAAAGAGTGGAAAGTTCTTAGTGGAAATGTTTATATAACTTGGAGCTATAAATGGCAACGCTTATTAAAAGGAAATTCCGTTGGCAGATAGTTGGAAGATATTTTATGGAACTCCTTAGGCCAAGTGCATGATGATGAGGGTTTACTACAAATCAGAGAGTGGTGGCCTCTGTACCTCTGAGCCATGCAGAGCTCTGGCCAGGGCTCCTGCAGGGCACTTTCGTCAGAGGAGCTCTGGGCTTCTTGTCATCTACCAGAGGCCACACTTTTTTCTTGATGCCTATGGGTGCCTCCTGTGTCTCATTTTTTTCTCCTCATCTCTTTCTGCCACTAGGTGTTTACTCTTTAGAAATGTGAACATAAATACCAAAAGAAGCACCTAAAAGTTGAAAGAAATTACTCCTGGCAGTGGATTAGGGGTTGAAATCAGGCAGCCAGAGATTGCTGGTTTTCATAGGAAGTCTTTTGTATTGTTAGGTGCTCCAAGGTTCTTGGAGAGCTTTCTGGTGTATTATCTTTATTACCTGCCTTGTAATAAAATTAGGATTTGAGTTGGGAGGGTTGCAGTGCAGACTGTCATATAAGTAAAAACAACCACTTGAAGCATTCAGCTTGTGTTTTTAGAACCACTTTAATACCTTTTGAAATGTATCGCTTACATTTTCCTAGTATACCTGAGTATATAGAATTTAAAGAATTCATAGTCGCCCTGGTGAGCGTGTGCTGTCCTGCTCTGGATGCCTTTGGTACCATTGCAGTGGGCAGAGGAATGGTTGTGGAAGGGGCAGGTTGGCTTTGTTATTTCCAATCCTCAGTGTGTCTGTCTTTGTATTTTACTTTGCCCACAGATTGGGGACCACAAATTCAGTGCTCACCGGATCGTCTTAGCAGCCTCAATCCCGTACTTCCATGCTATGTTTACAAATGACATGATGGAGTGCAAGCAGGATGAGATTGTAATGCAAGGAATGGACCCAAGGTACTCGCTTCTTCCAAGTTTGGTGCTTAGTGCCATTTGAAGGCTCACAGCAAGACACAGTACCACACACATAATGCGTGATTTATAGACAAGTTGGAGTGTCCACAGTGGCCTGGGACAGGGTTATCATGAAGGGAGTTTCGATACTGTTTTTTGTTTATTACTAGAATAACATGCAGTGAGAACTAGGGTCTGAGATGGGTTTTAAACTGGATGCTGGGTGCAGGTGGTATATTATTCTCTGAACTTTACGGTGCTCATCATTTTAGCTGGCAGACTAGTTCACAAGTGTCCTTGTTCACTACCCTCTCAACAGTCTGGTAGGTACTGTCCGTTAGCACTTTCTGCAGTGATTAAAATGTTGTTTGCATGGTCTAAAATGGTAGGCAGTAGCCACATGTGGCTAGTGAGCCCTTGAAATGTGACTTGTGGGACTGAGGAGCTGAATTTTCCATTTTATTTCATTTTAACTGATTTAAATTTAATTTGAAATAGCCACATGTGGCTAGTTTCTACTGTATTGGACCATTATGGTCTAGAGGTTAAGTGTCATGTTTATTTGATGGGTTGTAAAATTGAGTCCCAAGAAAGTCAAACCCAGGTTATCCCTTAGTCGTTAACTTGCCATTTGTTGCTTAACTTCATCTCACAGTGGTGGAAAGAAACTCAGGGGAGAGTAGCTAGATACTCTATGGCATTTTCTCGATGATTGAAGGTGATCTGCTACCTTAAGTGGAGAGGGTATTTTATATGCACCACAAGACAGAAGTCTCAAGTAAACACAGAAGTGCGTCTTCAGAGGCCGTTGTGAACTCTTCTTCCTTGAGGTCTGTAGTGGATGGAGTTGTGCAGTCTTAGTTAACTAGTGCTGCTGCCAGAGAAATACCACAAGTGGGTTCAGGAGTCTGATGAATTCAGGGTGCTGAATCTCGAGGAAGCTCTTCTCTCCGTTAGCTGTGGAGGAAGGTCCTTGTCTCTTCTGAGTTTTGCTTCTAGGCGATCTTCATGTGGCTTGGCATCTCTCATCCCCCAACTCTCACCTACTCACTTGTCTAATCTCTTTTGTATCTCAGAAGAGGTTGATGTAAAGCACACACGACACTAATCCTGGCTCACTAACATAATGGACAACCAACCACTCCCAAATGGAATTCCAACCACGTAGACAGAAGTTAGGGTGTGCAGCACATACTTGGCAGGGAGGGGAACACAGTTGATTAAACACTTCTGAGCTGATAGCTGTATGTACTTTGGTATGGCAGCGAGCACACAAAGCAGTGCTTCTCCTTGTGTCAGCATTCTGGTGGTGAAGAGCTAACACTAAACAAACCCATGTGGATATGAGTGGGAGTAAAGCAAAGGCTAGTGAATGATGTTGGGGCTCTGTGCTATTTCAGGGTGATCAGGGAAGGCCTCTCTGGTGAGGTGACATTTGATCCAAGACCTTGCTTGAAGTGAGGGAGTGAGCCATCTGGGGGAAGCAGCCAGTGCAAAGGCCCTGAGGTGAGAGTGTGTTGAGCCTGTTGGCATAGAGTGAGGGGGGAAAGAGAAAGCGAGAGAGACCTTACCACATGCAGCCTCACATAAGGCATTTCGATTTTTATGCTTAGTGTAAATTGGAAGCCTGGAAAAATGTTAAAAATCTCATTCTGGGTATTGATTCCAAAGAAGTTATAATTCAGAAATATTACTTATAGTGATGCTAAGATGGTAATAGTTATTATACCTACCGATAAAGGAAATAAGTTATTGCTTGTTTAAATGTTGAAATGCTATGTAGCAGCTAGTAAACATGATAAACCTGTGGAAACTTTGGTAAAAAACTCAATGGTATTGTATGACTACATCTGCACAGGTTATGTGTACAGGTAAACAGGCTAAAAAGGAACCTAGAAAAATGACCACTGCTGGCTCATTAAGTAGTTAGAAAGCTTTTTTTTTTTCTTTCTGTAATAAAATTATTTGGGCAATAAATAAATAACAAATAAAAGCTCAGTTAGGGCCTGAGTCTCTTGTGGATTAAGAACCATCTCTGAAGAATGTCTCACACTTTCCCTGTTTTATTCTAGTGCCCTAGAGGCCCTAATCAACTTTGCCTACAACGGCCACCTTGCCATTGACCAGCAAAATGTCCAGTCACTGCTCATGGGGGCCAGCTTTCTGCAGTTGCAGAGCATCAAAGACGCCTGCTGCACGTTTCTCCGAGAACGGTAAGGCGGTGCAGGAGACCTGACCCACAGCAAGAAACGTGACTATTTTGTGTGTGGAATCCCCTGCCAAAGTTTTCTCAGTCCTTGGAGCATAGTTTTTATGAAGGTTACTCTGCAGGGATGATATTTTATTATTATTATTATTAATTATTATTATTTAACTTTATTGTGAATTAAGTGAAAGTTTACCAAACAGATCTTCAATTTTACATTCAACAGATCATATACTTTGCTTTATTATTCATGAATACAATCCCCTTCATGTGCCAACAGTTAACAGTATTTACCTCTCCTCATTTTAACTCCTTTTGTACTCACTAACTCTTGCATCCCTATGTCTCCTGCTACCTTCAGCTTTCCTGTCAACCTCTCTCTTATTGTACGTAGTCTGCCCCATCACCCATGTTAACATATTTCTGCCTTCTAGCCCATGTATAATCCCTCTCCCCATAGCCACCATGTCATTGTTACTTGCCATTGAATCACTTCTGACCCATAGTGACCCTACATAGGATTTCCAAAGAGCAGTTGGTGAGCTTGAACTACTGTCCTTGTGGTTCAGACCGACTTTACAGTCCAGTGCATTAACCCACAGAGCCACACCAGGACTCTATAACCACTATACTTGTAATTGTTGTTGTTATGTGCCATGAAGTCAGTTACGACACATAGCAACCCTGTATAGGGTTTCTGAAGCTGTAAATCTTTACGGAAGCAGAAAACCTCATCTTTATCCTACGGAACAGCTGGTAGTTTCGAACTGCTGACCCTGAGGTTAGCAGCCCAATTCATAACCACTATGCTACCAGAGCATAACCAGTATGGAGTATTTCTTTCATCAAGAAAACCTTTTCTCCAGAAGAACTAGATGGTACCCAGCTACTACTACCAATTGCTCTGAAAGGGATCACATTAGAAGGTCCCAGATAGAGAGGCACAATATATGGAACAAAACTCAAAATTATTTTTTAAAAAAGACCAGATTTACTGGTCAGAAAGAGGCGGGAGGAACCTGAGACTATGACCATCAACCACCCTACAGGTCTGGAAAGTGAATCACTCTCATGGCCCCACTTTCAGCCAAGCAGTGGGTCATTACATAGTGGGGACAACAGCACTAGTTAGGTAAGCTCACTATGAAACAGATAATCAATTAAAATCTAAAGGGCAACATTTACCTAAAGACAAAGTTGAGAAGGGATGGGAAGGTGGGTAGACTGAAAATAGGAACCACAGTGATGAAGTGGGATAACTTGTTACTTGGAGCTAATTGCAATCATTGGAATGAAATGAAACAAAGTGTGTGATTTGTTGAATGTAACACTGATGATCTTATCTGTGAACTTTAACTCAATTCACAATAAAAAGTTTAAAAAAACAAAACCAAAAAACCTTTTCTTAACTTGACAACAGTGGCCTCATACAATATTTCTCCTTTTGTGATTGACTAATTTCACTCAGCATAGTGCCCTTCAGGTTCCTCCATGCTGTGAAGGGGTTTCACAGATGCATCATGATTTTTCACCACTGTACAGTATTCCACTGTGAATGTAAAACAAAGCTTAACCATTCTTCTCTTGATGGGAATTTAGGCGGCCTCTATGTTTTGATGCCTCTCTTAACAGATAGCATATTAAAGGATCTCATATTCTTATCATTCTGCTACTGTATGTCTCTGGACTGGTGTATTTAATCTATTTGCATTCAGTGTAATTATTAGTAGGTATCAATTGATTGCTGTCCTTTTGCTGTGTCTTTGTGGTTTGTGTGGTGCTACTGGTTTCTTTGTTACACGTACTTTTCTGTGCTGAGTTCATTTTGTTTGTGGGTTTTCTTTTCATTTTCATTTCTTTTACTGGTTACTAATCTTTCTGATTTTCCGTGTTTTTATTTTCATGTGAAGGTATATTAAATATCTTTGAGGTTATCCTGTAATTTATTAAGTTTTCTCCACTTAAAACAGGAGAAATCTCCTTGACTTACCATTTGGAAGTTTTGTATTTATACTGCTCCCTCTTTTTGCTTTGTAGTTGACTTCGTTCAACATTGAAGTGGTTCCCTATTTAAAGTCTTGTAGATTTGTTTTACTTCAAAGACTTCTGTATCTGGATTGAGTTCTAGGCGGTGTTGTCATGTATGGCAATCTAAGGTTATTATCTGCTGTTGTTGATTCTTAGTTCATAGAGAATCATTTAGTCTTTTTTTTAAAGTTGGTCTTGTTATTAACACTTCCTTTCATTTCTGTTTATCTGGAAATGTCCTAATTTTGCCATCTTATTTAGGGATAACTCTGCTGGATATATGATTCTTGGTTGTTTTATTGTTTTTTTAATGTTTTATTGTGAATTATGTGATACTTTACATGGGAGAACATTAGTTTTACATTCATCCTATCCTATATCGTTTCATTGCCATGGTTACAATCCCCTCTATGCATCATCAACCAACCAAAGGGTATATCCTACAAGCCTGCCGCCCACCCCCCAGTCATCAGCACACAGTACCTTTCCCTCTCTGTGTCTAAAGTCTCCAAATGCTCCATCTCTCCACGTCCTCATCTCTGCCTCCATCTAAGGCATCACTGCTTCTCTGGGTAGGGTCCCTCTCTCCACTCTCCTCCCTTCATGGTCCCAAGGACCTCCTCTCCTAGACTGCAAAGTTAATCACTCCCCTCCTTGCTACAAAACGTCTACCTTTACATTTCCAATCCTCAAAATCAGTCCTGATAACAATTATTCACTCTTGTATCACAAGAGATCTATCTGCATTTCCTTTCATCAGCCCCGCCTAGACAGATTGGATACTACACAGTGGAGATTCTATCTTCCTCCATGCTCTCTGGTCTAGTTTCCTTCTTGAAAGCTTGTAAGCCAGTCCTTCTTGCCTTTGTAGCACCCCCATTTTGGGTAGCCAATGTCCAAGTTGCCCATCCCTGTCTACTTTGTATATGGAGGGGTTGGGAATGATCCTTGCTGTAAAGATGTTCCCTCTTTTGAGCTACTGCATCCATAGGTGTAGGTCAAGTTCATCAAATTGTATCAGATTACTCTTTTTTTCCTCTTCTTTCTTCTTCTGGTTGAGCTCTACTCATCCAGTCATTGAAGTCAGGTCAAGTGGGTATTATCTGCAAGTGTGGGTGTTCTTATGCATATGTCCTTTCCTCTTATCAGCTGGATGCTTCACTCTCCACTCTAGTCCTCTGTGACTATGTCACTGACTCTGGGCCCAAGAGTCCCCAGGTCTTGCCACACGGCTGGCCAATCAGGTCTCCACCCGGGTTCGTAGGAGTCTGTTGAATGTTGTAGGGCTTAGCTCGCAGCTTCATTGCTTTTTTCCCCTCACTTCCCCGTATCAGTGATGAACGTCGACACCAATCGGAGCATGTATTCCCATTAAGTCTTACTCTTGGAAGGGGGTTTGCTCTGAGGGGACCAGAGCAAAGGGGTTTGCTTGATGTCTCCTGGGTGAGCAACTTGCTTGTTCTTGTAGTAATCAGTTGGTCTGCCTATGTTGTTTTGTATTTTTCCTGTAGGTCTTTCTTTCAAGAAATATCTTCTGTTCTTCTCGCCGCTTCAGGCTGGTCTGCCTGTTCTTTCAGGAGGAAATTTCCCACCTCTGAAGATTCTGGATGCTGTTCAGGATTCCACCTATAGCCTTATGTAATGCAGAGGCTCCACAGGAAGCCTCCTTCACTGGGCATGTTGTAGCCCCATTTTAGGTAATCCAATCAGTTATAGGCAGAAGACAGACTTACACGCTTTCTATGATGATATTTCTGTCTATTCCTTTCTCTCCCCCTCCAGTGTCTATTTTATAATACAATGCAAGGAAAACCAAGATTCAAAAGACAGCTAAGCATCTTAATATTTTTGTTGTTGTTGTTAAGTGCTATCTTAACATTATTTTTCCCTCTTATCCCCATTTCAGCCATGTTTCAATTGCTATATCCCAGAGTACATTGCCTCTTGCCTGCATGGTTTCTTTTGCGATATCAGTGTTTAGTTTTGTTAGTGCTCCTTTGTAGATAAATTTTGGTTTTCCTGAGCTGCTCTCGGGATTCTTTCCTTGTCTTTGGTTTTGGAAAGTTTGATTATGATATGTCTTGGTGGTTTTCTTTTGGGATCCATCCTATTTGGAGTTCGTTCAGCTTCTTATATGCTTATCTTCTCGTGTTTCATGATGTTAGGGAAGCTTTCTTCCAACAACTCTTCAGTAATTTTCTCTGTGCTTTATATTGTCTCTTCCCATTCTAGAATTCCGGTCACCTGTAAGTTAATTATTTTCATGGTGTCCCACATAACTCTTAGGCTTTCTTTGTATTTTTTCATTCTATGTTCTAGGACACTAGTGTTGAGAGATTTCTCTTCAAGCTTACTTTTTCAGGCTTCTGTTGCTTCGAATCTACTCCTTTGCCCTTTCAATATTTTGTCCATTTCTAAAATCTTAGTAATCTTTTGGATTTCTATTTTGTATTGTTTCAGAATTTGCATTCATTATGTCTGTTTGTTCTTGCAGTGTTTTCCTGAATTCTTCTAAATTTCTTTCTGTGTTCTCCTGACTGCTATCATTGATCAGGTGTTATGGAGCTGGTATTGGCTCTTACCCAGCGGGTGAAGCTGCAGAGAGAGTGGTTGTGGCTGGGTTTATGGGCGCATTTTCTGTCTCCTGTTGGGTGGGAAAGAGGAGAACACACACACAAGAACACAAGCAAGATAAACAAGCAACCAACAATGAAAAGTGAAAATGATAAAGAAATAAAAAATAAAAGCTGGCAGAAACTGGAGAGAAAAAAAAAAAAAAGAGAAACAGGAAAGTGGAGCTATAGAAGAGAAAATAAAAGGAAGAAATTTTTGAATACTTTAAAAACAGGGAGAGGAAGAATAAAAAGAGACTAGACTAGAAAAAAAATCAAAAGGGAAAAGAGAATAGGAGCAAAAATGTGTACAACAAGAAAAGAAGGAAAACAAAAGCAGAGATAGACAGAATCAAATTCAAGGAAA